CTGGCCAAGCGCTTCGCCCAGTTTGGGACTAGTGTGAGCGTCAACAGCTTCTGCCCTGGCTTCACCCAGACCTCCATGACTCGTGGGAAGGGCACCCACACCGCCGAAGCCGCCGCCGCCGTCGGAGCTCGCCTCGCCTTGCTGCCTCCCCACCGCCTCCCCACCGGCCACTTCTTCTCCTGGGGCCCCAACTATGATGTACCCAAAAACTCCAGATTATAATTTACCATTATTATTATTATTATTTATCCGATTATCTAATCTCTCTCTTCCATCATCTTTATAATCTGCCTTTGCTGTCTCTCTGTGTTGGCCGTTGGGGTGTGAAATAATATCAAGCTATAATATCCAACCACCATTACTTTCTATCATATTTTTAAAAACTTTTATTTCAATGCTACTCCGATCCTAATTAGATTCCGTTTTCTAATTATAATTATTAGAATAACCAGTATTTGTGTTTTATAGAGTATATATGCATATGAGTTTGCTTTTAGATTCTACCTATATCTTTGATATACATTTAATATATTCTAATCTTTCTAGGCTAGCTATGTCACATCCCTAACAAATTTAACTATAGTCTATGACTCTATATTCCTTGATTAAAGTACACCAAATGTCCAGGGTGACACAAAACAAACATTCTCAAGTTATTTATTTATTTATTTGAGTACTAACATGTGTGGGTATGGATATGAATGCAGACTCTTTTGTTCGGAAATAGATTATCTTAACCAATTGAATTATACTTAAGTTTGTCATTCACAAATTATTGCACGGTTTGAAGTTGAACTCTAAAATATTGTAATACAAGTCTTATAATCAATTGTATTGAAAGAATAAGATAAGATTTAACACAACATTTTTATTTTTCAATATCAAAATAATATATCTTAAAAGAAGTTGACTGAAATTTTTGTCTCTACAAATAGCTTGTTACATCTTAGAAAATTTATTAACCTCTATATTAAGTATTAACTATAAGAATGGATGAGTTAATAGTTAAAAAAGAGGGGATCAAAAACAAAATTTGTAAACAAATAACAAAAAAACAATCAAATTGGTGTTATAAATATAGGGATGGGATCGAAGGACCATGAAGAGAGACATTAATATCCGACCATTTAAGCCTATAATGATATCGATGATTACCACCAAGTTGACGCAATAGTGAAACATATGAACACAAACCTCATAAATATTTGGGGGGAAGTCAGGATTTAGATTTGGCTGGAGAAGGGAAAAAAACAAAGAAAAGGAACCCAATTCACATGCAAATCTCCTCAACAACAACAACAATAATAATAATTGTTTTTTGGTTGGTTTGGGAGAAGAATCTTTGAATAATTGATGGTCAACAACGTGGAAGTTAGACATGAATATTCTTTGGTGTCGTGTGAATTATATAATTAAATAAGATGAGTGATGCCGCTCGTGACGATTATTTCTCACTCACATCACATGGAGCAATAAAACAACTCGTCAAAAAAAAAACCATGAAATTAATTTTCTTTTTCGATAGGGCTCTCTTGGATATAAGTTCAAGACTAATTTATTCCTAAATGATGAATAAACACTATTCGATCCAAAAATGATGAATTATCTGATGTTATCTCTTGTAGTTTGGCAGTAGGAGATAGAAAGCGAAAGGAATAAATCTAGTGTACTTAGTAAAAACCTTCTTGGAATCTATGATTTTTTCACATATTTATTTATATATCTTTGGAAATCAACTTTCATTTAATAAATTAGAAGCAAAGGTACCTATAAAGTGTTAACAAATATGAAATAATAACAATGTATTATAGTTTTGCTTTAGATTCTTATTTGAATTTGATATCCCTCTTTTCTTTTTTTTTTTGTTTTATATTATTATTCTAAACAAACTAATACCAAATATTATAGGATGTTGTAGTTTAGTGATCAATATTTTATTTTCAAAACTAGTGGTCAATATTATTTGTTCAGTAAATAGACTTTTCGTGTAACAAAATACCATCTAAATTAAATATAGCTTATTTAGTTTAGATATATATCATCAACTAAAATATCAAAAGTTTGAATCCTCACGGTCGCATATTGTTGAACTCAAACAAAGGAAAAAATGTATTCAAATAAGCATATTTTCCACTATTGCGTTTAAAATTATACTTATACGTGTGACATAAAATTATGGTTACACAACTAGTTATATACTTATATTTAAAATTATACTTATCATTTTTATTAAAATTTGACATGTAAATAAGCAATTTCTACTCTAATATACCTATTTAAAAAAGACCCAGTTGATGTGTCAAATGAATCTCATATTTTAAAAAATAAATTCACACATGATAAATAATTAGTATATTTTATCAGCTAGTTGAAAAAATACTACACTTTCTTAACAATTTTTTTTTTTTTGGAAAATTACTATTAGAACCCAAGAATTGTCTACTCAATGAAGTTATAAGTTTTTTTTTTGGAACAAAAAGATATTGATTAAAGGATAAATACCTCTTGGGCTACGGAAGAAGGGTAGTCACCCTTAGTTAGGTTTAATAACCATAAAGAAAAACAACTTTGTCAAAAGCACGTGGCAGCAGACAAAAAGCCATGTTTGGCAAGTGTGTGTGCAGATTGATTACAGCCACGAGAGATGTGAGAAAAACAAATTGAATAGAAGGAAAGAGAAAGGGTTTCAATTTCCAGCAACCAATTTAGTTCATCTCCTAGAGTTGATCTTCCACCATTTATGAGTTTGAATGACAATTAGAGAACCAGATTCTACTTGAAGGTGTTGAAAACCCATAGAGAGCACCATGTGCAGACCTTCCAGAATTGCTCTAATTTCTGCGAGCAAAGGGGATAGGGGAAAGAGAGAACCTTGGACTTCGCTGCCAGAATACGACCTCACGAAGAAGCATCCCCAGACCAGTCTGAGTATTTCGGCAAGCCCCATCCACATTTAATTTTGTGAAATTTTCCAGTGGAACGTGTCACGACGAGGGAATCACTGAAGCTGTAGCCGTCGTTTGAGGGGCTGAAGGGGTGGCATTCGCCCGCCTGAAATACTCAAGATAAGAAGAGATCCAATTGCATTTGGAGTCGAGATCCAATGAAGTTATAAGTTGTACTTTGCACTTTATAAATTGTTGTTGATATGAGATGCATATAAAATTAAAAAAGGTAGGTGGTCACCCAAAAAATAGGTATTCTTTCATCTGGTAGATGTAAAAAATGTAAACTAATGAATCAGTATATATTTGAATTGAAAAGAGTCGTGTCCAACGACGTATCATCTATTTGATAAATAAAAACCCAAGTCGAACAAAAACTTTTTAGAACTTTGACCTTTCTTAATTTTGTTAGAAAACTATAAAAACTCAAATGAATTTTCCGCTCTCATCAAATGATTATAAAATACCACGTATTTATGGTTGTTTTTGTAAATAAAATATTCAATATTCATGAGAAAACACAATACCAGCTTTTTCTTTCAAAATGTTGACATCTAGTCAACAATTAAAAATTTAAAATTCAATCCACGATTCTTTAACAATGCATTTTTTTTTCGTTATTAACATTTAAATGTTGCTTATATTATACATAGTAAAATATGGAAAATACATTTTGTCTTTTTGTCTTTTTTTTTTCTTTTTTGTTTTGAAACTTTTTGAAATGGCCACGCCATCTTTCATCATTTTAATGGGGAAAGTTTCTACGGAGAGTACTGGAAATTTTCCACTACCTCTCTTTATTATTGTAATGCCTGCGAGGGTCCACGAAAGAAAATAATAAAGTACATATATATATATATATATATATATTTTTTTTTCAATACAATATTTTTTTTTCTTGAAAACAAATAAAGTACTTAATAATGTGTGAAATTGTGAATGAGATGATTGGAGTATGTATCCCTGTAGGCTGTAATATTATAAATTTTTCAAATTTATTGTTGCTAATGGCTAGAAACCTATTGGTTGAATCATCCATAACTATATGGAAAAAAATTTATTATTTTATTTGATTTATTCATTAAATCCAGTGGGCTAAAACGTTTCATGTTTTTTTTCCAACGTAGACTTAGTTGTATTAAATTAAAAAGTCGTGAGTCCGAATTTTCATCTTTACATATTGTACTTCTAATTTTTTTTATGTATTTTTGAAAAAAAAATTATTTCCAAGTTGACTTAGGTTAATTTTCATTCGTTCTATCCAAATTAAACTGTTTCCTATCATTTTTAGTCCATTCGAAAATATATCTATTGGGTAAATCTTATGAACAATTTTATTTATTTAATAATAAGATTTTTGTATAGAATATATTTTAAAATACAATTAACTCAAATCGTTTGTTATAAATTAAAAATCATATGTTTGTCAATATTTTAAAATCTTAAAAACAAATAAATTATAAAGAACAATTTATCATAATTTATTATAACAAGAGTCAACTGAACATAGCTCGACGGTAATTAATATCTACTCAAGCAGGTTGACTTTCAAAGTTCCAACTTTATTAAAAAATAACTATCTTACCGATAATAAAATTCTCATAAAAGTCTCACACTTTTGTTTGTCAAATTGTTGTGTTTTAAAAATAGCAAAGATCTCCCTGTAAAGAGTTTGGCTTCCGTCTCATTAGTGAATAATTTATTTTATATTCTTGCAAGTAATCCTAATTTCCAGAAAAAGATACATTTAACTTGAACCGATTTTGATATTTATCCTTTCAACTTCAACTAAACTATATTTAAACTTAAATCCACTCTTGCATCTCTGCTTGGAAAAGACGCGTTTTAGAATTAATAATTGATTCCCCTAAAACAAAATTTAAAATTAATAATTTATTGTACTCGTAAGAAAATTAATAATTGAGTATGTACCTATGTTTGATTTTTTAAAGAATAATAGTAATAAACCGAATAATTGATTCGCATATTGATATTTTCATAATTATTTGATAAAAATAAAGAGTTGACTGAGAATTCAAGAATATTTCTAAAATATCATTAAAATATTAATGAAATACGACAAAATTATCGTAAATCTATTTAAAAAAATGTAGAATGTTTATTTATTAATTTATACAAATTTTTATAACCCGGTATTGTTTACATTTACAAACCACTACCACTTAAATTTCATAAGAATCAACACTTTAGTAGATTGTTAAAGCAAGCATACACCGATAATTGACACATATTCCAGTTAAGAGGTTGTGATTTCGATTCCCCACCCAACATGTATTGAAAAAAAAATACATTAATAAAGAAGTATGGAGATACCATACCGCCTTAAACAAGCGCCAGGAAAATGGAGCTTACCCACCTACCACTAGTCTTCGACAAGAGACTTTAGGGCTTGTTGGAGGTGCTGAGCCTAACGAATCGACACTGACGGGACAGATTTCAGACCATCCTCCGAAGAGGTTACATTAAACAGAAAGACTCGATTCAAAAATGCTCCATACCCTCACTAGCACTACTACTCAATTCTCTGGAGTCCTATTTATGCTAACTATCTTTGTTTGGTTGCAAGCAAGAAAATGAATATCAATATGTATAAATTCCGTGAGCAGCGATTGAACTGAACGTTCCAAGTGCATCCAGCAAGAATCGAACCTCATGTCTTACTCGGGCCAGCAGTGAACAAAGTGTTAAAGTAGAGAAAGCTAGCGTTTCGTACTCAGCCGGCCAAGTAAAACTCCAGCTAAGCTAATAGCTCTAATTGTGGGATATCTTAAAAAGATGCTCTTGTTTGTGGCCTTCCTTCTCTTCTGGTTAATCCTATGAATCGGTAATCGGATCGGCAACAGGTAACAGGCTTTATCTGGGTTCAATTCCTTTCTTCCTACCCGGACCAGCATTGGATTAATTCCTTCGATGCTTGCTCGGAGCGGGGTCGACTCAATATCGAGAGACTCAGCCACCGAGGACTTTATCGCACCTATTGAAATATGGGATAATTTTCAAAAGAAGTATATTAAAAGGTTAAATTTTAAATTTTAAATAATTAAATAAACCGCTACCACTTTTGGGCCATCATATAACGCGGCCCAACCCAAGAGCTGGAAGCTGCAAATGTCAAGACCTCGCAGCGCTCTGGTGTTGTGGTCGTCCAATCTGTGCTGAAAGCAATCGGAGCAGGTATCATTAGGGTTTTGGTTTGTGTGCTAATCGCCAAGGTTAATTTCTTCAACTCTCTCTCGATCTTGCAGATGTTTGCTTGATTTGCTATTGTATGTATATAAAAATTGGAAGAAGTGATTACTTGTTATATGAAACAGCATTAAGAAATTTATAACTTCTTTTGTGCTTTATAATTTCTCTATATAGAAGATGACTAGCCCAATTAGAGCTTTGATTAGGTCTTTATGGTTTGCTAGGCTAGTCACGGCGTAGAACTTGGTTTGCTTTCATCATCATGTACTGAATTGAACTGTTGTTGTTTTGTTGATGGTAAAGAAAACTCAGGAAATGGAAACTCTAGCTAGATAACAACACAACTGAGACCACCACCCACCCACCCAATGTCCTTTGTAGGAGAAATGTTCAAACCTCGTGTGTTACACCAATTCAATTACCACTAAAGTGCCACTGTGTAGAAGGCTGAGAGTGGAAAACATGAAGCTGACGCTTCAAGGATTGATTTCAAATTAACCCATGAGTGGCACTAGCAAGACTTCCATATTCAGCTTCGGTGCTAGAATATGAGAGTTTGTTGCTTATGAGAGCACAGAGCAATTAAATTGTCACCCAAAAAAATACAGTAACCTGAGTGGACTGCCCAATCAGTATTCATGAACTCGGGTGAAGATGTAGGAGAGCTGATACCTGCAATGTAAGGGCGCGATGCAATTTAAAACTTACAAAATCAACCAAATGGTTTGAGCAACACGTGTGGCCAGTTTGGTTTCATAAAATTTGAAACTGAAAATAAGTTGATTGTTTCAGTTGTGATCATATTGGTTGGCCGTTGGATTGCTAGACGGTTGAATCCACCTTCAATTGGTTTTGAATGTCCATTTTTCCGATTTCTGAAAGTTTTGGACATTTATCATTTTGACAGTATATATAAATAAGGACACATACTCTAATTTCGCATTTTATACTTAGGGTTTATTTTTGTGTTTCACGCCCCAAGCCCAGCCCAGAACAACACCCACATTTCTCAAGAGTTTTGCTTACCCCAAGTATCAACTTTTTCAGATCTCACTTTCCATCCTCCTCCTCACACCGCACAAGGGTAGTGTCTCAGTTTTTTTTAACTTCTTTTTCTTCTTTTCCTTATTTTAGTTTTCACGCCCCTCTTCTCTTTTCTCTTCTCCCAATTTCATTGTTGGTGTTGCTGTTTTTGTTCATATAATCATATCTCATCCTTTAGGTATGCTTTCTTCTCTCTTCTTTCTTTCAATTTTCACACCTCTCTTCTCTTTTCTCTTCTCCCAATTTTTATCATTGTTGTTGTTTTTGTTCGTGTTTGATCTCATCTCATCTTTGGGTTTCCTGTTTGTATTCGTATTTGTCTGTTCTTGTTAGTGATCTCTTTTAACACTAACTTCAGTTCTTACAGGTACCAGAATCGATTGGGTTGGTCTAAAAAATTATCCTAACCTGACCCAACCCAACCCGATTATTGGTTGGTTTTTCTTAGATCATTGTGTTAGGTTTCAGTAACCAAGTCAATATTATTTAATTTTTATCAAGCGACAATTCAAACTTTTGAACTTGAAAAACTGTGTGATTAACCTTTGAATTAAAAAAACCCATAGTAGGAATAAAACTGCATTGCATATCAAACCAAGTCTTGTACGCTTGTTTAAAGCTTGACAAAATGGTGTATGGAGTTTATGCACAAGAGCTTGATCATTAGTAGAACCATGAAAACCTGGAGGCTGGTTCATGAAGACATAGTCATCCATGCTCCAATTTTTCGTTCAAAAATGCATTATTAATATCCAATTGCTGTGGTACTAGCTTGGACCACAAGATTAAAGGTTGCCATAACCAATATCCAGTAATTGGTGAGATTTCTTATCCATTAACTTGAGTTTATAATGAGCTACTGTCCTATCCGAATTTCTCATGATTTTAAATACCCACTTACACCCTACAACCTTAGAATCACTTTATGAGGAACCTGGTTTCCAATGCTTTGGACAGCAACAAATTTCTCACGAGGTTGTATCTAACTATTGATATAACTTTCAAAGTTGTATCCCTGTATTCTGCTAAGGTTTGATGCTTCCAGTTCATATTCAAACATTTTGGAGCTTGAGGTAGCCATGGCTACTTTTTCCTTCATTTGTGCACTTGTGTGGCTGAGTTTTTAATGTCTGCTGCCATCTTAAGAAATCTTTTATTAAAATCTTTGTGTAATCTATAGACCCAAGTATTACTCAATGGTCTAACAAACTAGAACTTGATGCCTTACCAAAATTATACCTGCTAACTGTACCGAAGTTATATTTTATTTTGGATTTTCTTGAGTAGCTTCCCCGAACAAGCATTAACCCTCAAATTCCAGTATTATCATATTCATTATTGTTTTTTACAAGTCTTGTTCATTATGTTGCCATTGGGGATGACAGTCTAATTGGATCAATATTGACAAATCTTGCAGTGTTAGAAGCATAACAAAACATAAACGTCAAAATGGCTGGACTTTTGGGATACAAGAGCCTCGCACCCAAGACAAAGAATGTTGTTGTTGCCGGAGGTTTAACTGCTTTTGTGTTTGGGGTATATTTCTACACCATGAGAGCTGTTGGAGGTACAGATGAACTGCAAGTAGCCATAGACCAGTTTGAAGCACAGAAAAGCAACAAGGATTAGCCTTGGACTCTTTTTGTACCCCCTTGTTTCTCTGTAAAAGTAACGAATTTTTCGGCCTTCAGACAATAATGCAATTTCCATCAACTCTCTAAAGATGAAATGTTGTGTGGTTGTCAGGCTGTGTTTTTCATTTTGGGGAGCACAATAAGATTTTACTTGTATCTACTTCTTCAATTACGTTTAGTGTTGTAATTTTTACCTGTTTAACTTATAATTTGTTCAAATTACATATTAAACTTGTATGTGCACTTTGAGAAATTGTTACAGTTTTTACTTTAGTTGAAAAAATATATCATTTATGCACGTTGTCCAAGAAACAGAAGGCAAATGTTAACAAGTGAATCGCGTAGTAAGCATATTTTGGGTATAAATTCAGAAATCATTCTCATTGCTATTCAATCGCATCACCTCATCAATAAAATAAATGGGTCAGAATATTCTATCATTCAAGTTTCAGGGATGAACTTCAGCCAGAAGCCCACATTCCCTGAAAAGTACATTATCGAGAGAGAAAGAAAAATGATGCTGCGGTTGCAATTGGCATAATCATTAATCAGTATGAAGAAAAGAGGGAACTGCATATTAGAACGAGCAACATGAAGCCACCTCTGTTTCCACTTAATCCCTGATATTGAATGAAGCCCTTAACTTATCAGCTAGATGTGGCAGCGTATTCAAGCTTTCTTGGATTGACCCATCCACGCATGATTCCAAATCATAAACGCTGCCAGTTTTCTGCTGAAGCCTAGCTGCTTCAAACTTGTCTTGGCACACCATTAGTGACCTGTTCAATCTTTCCTGCATTCACCATACAAAAATACAGACCCTCCTTTCAATGGACAACTCACTACTGTATCCAGAAATTCAAAACGTTAAACAACAATGGCAGTGTTGAAAAACTCTTATTTGAAGACTTCCCATGTTGACCTCCAATTGTTCTAGCTAGTAGTTTAATTATTCGGTGCTAATTCCAATTCAAACTAATGGCTAAATAATGCTGAAATATACAGCTGATCTTTGCAAATGACGATAAGAAACTGCATCTCTTTCTTGATTTCAATGGTTAAAGTGGTGTTTATGTGTGTAGCCAGGATGAGGAGACAGCAGATCTTCTGGAATATCATGGTCTGTTTTGGAATGCAGTTTGTTTCTTTTTCTTCAGCGTGATCCTCGGTCATCCTCTGAAGGACAAAAGGTAAAACCTTCCGACTTCCATTTGAAAACCAGATCAAATCTAGTTTTGAGTTTGGTTTGAAAATTTTCGAGTCATATGCTTATGTCATTAAGAGTTGAGATAAAAATATGAAGTTGAATGAAGGAAAGACAGAAAATCAGAACGGGGAGATGGATAAACACGTACTTGAAACTTAGCCATCTCATTCTCAACATGTTGCTGAGCTTTGATAACTGGAACGCTACAATTCTCAACGCAGTTGCTAATCTCTTCCTGCCTTCTTCTCCTGTCGAAGCACTCATAGGCACATTTGAAATACGCTTGCTGCAATCAAGAATCATAAAAGATAAATAAACAAGCCATCAAGTAAAAGAAGTCACAAACGATGGAAACGAAGATCCCGAAGAGAAGGAAATCATCGACTCCTCTCTTCTCACAGCAACCGGTCTCCAGGAACTGGAACAAAGAATCCATGGCGCCCATTCGAAAGACGAAATGACTGGACAGATACACCTTGAAATCGAATGGGAATGGAGAGAGGCAAACCTGAAGAGTAAAATTAACATGGTCTTGGACGGGACCAAGATGAGACTGCGCTGCCATGTTCACTTCGTTTAGCTTCTGCCTCATTCTCTCAGAAACCACTTGCTCTTCCATAGCCGCTATGTGATTCATCTTCCTTCCAATTCCCGGGAATACTCAACAACAGAGAAGATCCGCTGAAATCGCAGTGCGCGAAGGGTTTAGGGTTTTTGCTTCCAGTTCCAGTTCCATCCAAATTCTCGTTAAACATGGCGTTTTCTGCTTTGGGCCCGGGCCCATATAAACCCAGCCCAGCCCAAACCTTTCCTTTCCTTTTCCTTTTTTTCTTCCGTCCTTTTTGATCTCTCTTTCGCGCTAAATATCGCGTTTCTTACAGGAAAAAGAGGAGAGGGCGGCCAATGGACTGTTTTGAAGAGCCGATA